ATAATGTACAGTATTTGAAAAATAATGTGTTTTTTGAACATTAAAGCATGCCAACATATTCTGTTACACCAAATACACAAAATAATGATCTTTAAAAAAGCATCATATGACCCCTTTAATTTAGTGATTGTTATCGGGATGTGAAGAGACTTTCAACCAGCATAACAAAAAAAACTACCCTGCAATTAAGTATATTCTTTTAAATACATAATTTCTGTAATAAGTACTGTTTTTAAAAGTATGCTTAAGTGTGCTACTTTCTCACAAAGGATATCATTCATTTAAATTGTAATAATTTAAGCCGTTACTCAGTTATTTTCCACTCCAGTGAGCTGGTAAACATTCCCAGTGGATCATTTGGGTTTAACTGGAGAACCTAGTTAACTGACTAGTGACTAGTTCACTCAGCAGAAGGCGGTTGATGTTGTTTGTTTGTTTACAGCGTCTCGTGTGTTTGAACAGAACGCTGAATATCAGGAGGACTGAGTTAATTAGCGGCTCTGTTGGGCCGCTCTGTTAATTGCCTTCTCTTTGAAACCGCAGTAAATAGGATTGGCTGTTTCTCCCCGAGCGCTGCTGCGGCTTTCTGTTGTTCTGACACCGCAAATCACACAAACCGCGCTGCATTGTGCTCGGGTCTGTTTTGGTGGCTTCTCGGCCCTGTTGGCATGCTGATGGGATCACGCTGTCTCTCTGAATCGGCCGTGCCGGGATTGTACGCGTGCATGCTGAGATGTGTCAGTCGACGAGGCCACGTTAACGTCTCTCTGGTGGGAGAGCAGACAGATGCGTTATGAAATACAGAAAGCGTGTTTGTGCGTCTGCTGTACATAATGGGGAATTTAGCAGCGCTGGGAGATTTGGCTGCGCTGTTGATCTTTCAGTAAATCAGCAGAACGCTCCTCTGTGTGTCGTTTGATGCTCCTGCACTAATAAAACAGTAGCAGTGAGTGCCACGGAAGTCATAAGTCAGAAATCAGAGTGATTGTGTCTGTTTAATTCTCAACTGCACTTCTTTCAATCGAGCAGTGATTGTTGCAAGCTGTTTTCCTCTACTGTGGTATCAGATTAGGGCTACCAATCTTTGCATTTTTCTCAATTATAATAATGCACATTTTGAGCTATTATTTAGTGATGCTCATTTTAGTATTTACAGTTTTGTTATTGTTAACTAAAACTGTAAAAAAATTAATTGTTTTCATTAACTGAAATAAAGCTTCAAATTAGGGCTTCAAATTTTTTTTTTACAATTTAAAATGTTATTAAAAATATATATTTGTTTTGGTGTTTTTTTTGTGTGGCTGCACAATGTTAGAATTATCTGTCAATAAGTCTGTAAAATAATAATAAGGCGTTAAAATAATATGTATTATTATTATTATTATTAGTAGTAGTAGTAGTAGTAGTAGTAGTAGCATTAGTAATAATAATAATAATAATAATAATAATAATAAAATTTACTAAAACATAAAACAGGAAATTTTACTATAGTAATACATTTAAAAACAAAATATAAAAAACAAGTATTTACAACAAACATATTGATTAATATTATTATTATTATCATTAGTAGTAGTAGTAGTAGTAGTAGTAGTAGCATTATTATTATTACTACTACTACTACTAACAACAACAACAACAATAATAATAATAATAGTATGTGTTACACTGCAACTGTAAAAAAAACTGTTACACTCTGAAATACACAATGCATATATTAATTATGTTATATATTTAAATAAAATACAGATCTTGCTAAGCCTTATCATGATTTTTTTTGTAGTTTCAGTTCTAAACTTGCATAATTTTCATTAATTGAAATAAAGCTGCAAATATTTATATTTAACTAAAAAAAACTAAAAGCACACACAGAATTATTAAAATGTAAACTAAAAAAAAAAATGAAAACTGAAAATGCTAATTTAGAATAATAATAAATACTACAGTATATAAATAATATGCAACTAAAATAAGACTGAGTGTTTGTGTTTGTTGGGTGATTTTGTTCTTTTGTTTGTGCTGATGTTCAGTCTAATGAAAGCTCATATAGTTTTGAGGAGAGCTGATTTGATTGCAGTCTTTCGTCGGGATCGAGTCTCACAATGCTGTGGGAAGTGTCATGATGTAGTTTTGCAGGAGAGTGAAGGCAGTGATTTGTCTTCCTGTGATGCATTTCATTTATTCTGCATTTATTTCGAGAGGTTCTGGCTCGCTGAGATCAAGGCTTTTCTGTGCAGGGCAGTGAAGTGACAAAAGAAATGCATTTGAGAAGAAAAAGAGTGTAGAATTCAATAAATAAAATACAAATGCAGCAAATGGATGTTTTATTCACGCTGACCTGCGGTGATATTTATAAAGCCACTTAGAGACACTTCAACTTTACCCTGAAGTTTCTCACAATTAAAAAAAAAAGCTTTATGCTTTTATATGCAATTAAGAATCAGTGTCATGCGTAATTGCATAAAATGCTCCTAAATTAGTCAAGAAGGCCAGAGGTGATATTAACCTAGATATGAGATGATATGAGATATGAGGCATGCACATATCCAACTGACCGATAATTAAAAAGACATTGTAGATTATTGAAAAGTTTAGTTGTTGCAGTAGTGATAGTACGTGTAGTTCGTCACATGTTACAATTGCTAAATACTTAATCGTAACGCAACAGAACTACAATATTAAAAGCATCAAATGAAAAATGTGATGCAAGTAGTTTTTATTTTTATTAGGATAAATGGATTTATTATAGATAGATAGATAGATAGATAGATAGACATATATAGATATATATATATTATTTCAAAATACTGTATGTCAAATGCCAGGACATGCTGTCTTGTTCAACACCTCTGTGCATGAAACAGCTATATAGACAATTTATTAATTTTTTTAATTGTCTGGACAATGATCCAATATTACATATCTGTGAGTGGCAAAAGTATGTGAATCTCTAGGATTAGAAGTTAATTTGAAGGAGAAATTAGAGTCCATCAGTTCAGAGGTGTTTTGACTATCAGGTGTCATTGCCTGCCCTGTTTTATTTAGAGAGCAGGGATCTATCAAAGTGAATCATGGCACGGACAAAGGAGATCTCTGAGGACCTCAGAAAAAGAGTTGTTGTTGCTCATCAGGCTGGAAAAGGTTAAAACGTCATCTCTAAAGAGTTTGGACTCCACAAATCCACAGTCAGACAGATTGCGTACAAATAGGATATTCAAATAGGATATTCAAGACCACTGTTACCCTCCCCAGAAGTGGTCGGCCAACGAAGATCACTCTAAAAGCAAGACGTGTAATAGTCCACAAAACTTCTGAGCAACTAAAGTCCTTTCTCACATTGGCTAATGTTCATAAGTCCACCATCAGGAGAACACTGAACAATCAGAGAGCTGCAAGGAGAAAGCCACGGCTCTCCAAAAAGAGCATTGCTTCCCGTTTAATAATTAGTTCAAATAAAATATTAAAAGCAAGAAATCATATGGTTTTATTATACAAAACTGTTAAAATACATAAAGTATTATAAACAATAGAGCTAATGCTGCCCGTCTGCAGTTTGCTAAAGATCATGTGGACAAAACCAGAGGGCTGTTGGAGAAATGTTTAATGGACGGATGAGACCAAAACAGAAGTGTTTGGTTTAAATGAGAAGCGTTATATTTGGAGAAAGGAAAACACTGCATTCCAGCATAAGAACCTTATTCCATCTGTGAAACATGGTGGTGGAAGGATCATGGTTTGGGCCTGTTTTGCTGCATCTGGTCCAGGACGGCTTGCCATCATTGATGGGACAATGAAATCTGAATTATACCAGCACATTCTAAAGGAAAATGTCAGGACATCAGTCTGAGAACTGAGTCTCAAGAGAAAGTGGGTCATGCAGCAAGACAACGAAACCCAAGCACACAAATCATTATATCAGAGAATGGTTAAAGAAGAACAAAGTTAATGTTTTGGAAAAGCCGAGTCAAAGTCCAGACATTAATCCAAAGGAGCTGAAGCAAGCGGTTCATAGGAGGAACCCACCACCAATATCACAGAGCTGAAGCACTTCTGTACTGAGGAATGGGATAAAATTACAACAAACCATTGTGCAGATGCAATAATCTTTTTCCTGCAGTTATTGCTGCAAAAGAGGGTCAGATCACAAACTTTTGCCACTGACAGATGTGTAACACTGGATCATTTTTCTCAGTCAATAAATGACAAAGTGTATATTTTTGTCTCATTTGTTTGATTGGATTCTCTTTGTCAACTTTCAGGACTTGTGTGAAAATCTGATGATCTTTTGGGTCATATTAATGCAGAAATATAGACAATTCTGAAGGGTTCACAGACTTTCAAGTAGCACTGTATATATGTGTGTGTGTGTGTATATATATATATATATATATATATATATTGTTGTAGTTATTTTACTAAATAAAATTAAATAAATTCAAGTTTTTTTTAGTATTGATTGATTTCAATTGATTGATAGATTTTTGTTATGGTTTATTTTTAATTATATCCCTTATATGTTATATTTTAAATATCATGTACTCTCATCATTTACTCACCTTCACATTGTTCCAGATGGCACAAAACACAGAACGCAAATGAAGATATTTTTTAATATTCTCTGATCTATTCTCACAATATATTCTCTGAATTCTATCACAACATTGTGATAATTTTCACACTTCAAAATGTTCAAAAAGACATTGTATATGTAATATGAATACAAATTATTTCTCCTAAAGAGACACAATCACTTTATATGATGACCAAATTTTAATATAGTTTATATCATTATTTTTACATTACAAAGTTATATAGTTATTTAAGTCATTGTTATTATTTTTGTATATAGTTATAATTATTATGAACCCTGATCAACACACATAGAGCATATGAAATATGAAAATATCAAAAACATGAACAATCCTCACCGTTTCTCACGCGTCAGTCACTCCCATCTCATGTGCGTCTTGAGTCTGCATCTGAACCTGTTCTTGCGGTTGTGTTTTATTCATGCACATGCACTCGTCTGTCTCTGCAGGTGAGTTCTGTAAAAACCTGACGGACTCGCTGGAGAGCACTTCCAGCCTGCGTCTGCTCTGGAGGACCTTCCGGCCGTTCCTGCTGGGAAAGATCCTCTACGCTCCCGACACTAATGTTACACGCAGCATCGTCACAGAGGTACACGTGCAAACACAGACACAGAGGGACGCTAATGCAGTGCATCTGAATAAGAAGAGCACAGACTCTCATTGCGTGAGATGCAGACTGGTGTAACGAGGATGAACGTGCTCATAACGAGCTCAATGAGAAATCCACGGAGAACTGAATCCGCCGTTCTCACACACGCAAACAGCCGCTGATTGTGTCACATGAAATTTTAAACACTTTCATGTTGCAGTGCTGACATGCTTTCAGAAAGATGCAGGTTATTTTCTGCTCATGAGCCGCAGCTGCACTGAAAGAGCATGAATGGACAGGGATGACCTGCTGCTGGATCCACGAAAATAAGAAAGAAGCTTGGAAATTTTGTTAGATGACTTCTTTCTTATTTTTTATTTTTTTGATCCAGGTCGTCTCTGTACATGTCCTTAAAAAAAAACAAAAAAACAACAACAATGAAATGTTCTTAAGATAACATATGAGAACTTTTCTCAAGAATTGCATCTAGGAACATTTCTACAAACTCCTTATGCAATTTCTTACCTTCTAGGAAGTTTGTACAAATGTTCCTAAATGGAATTCTTGAGAAATTCTTAAGTTCTCAGACATTTTCTTAAGCTTTCATCTTTTTTTTTTCATCTTATATATTTCATCTTCATATATATATATATATATGTATTATTATTTTATTTTTTTTATTATTATTGTTTTTTTCTGTACCAGAACGACCTTAGAAAATTCAAAATATTTATTGTTTTGATGAATTCAGCCCCAGGTAAAACCTAAAAAAACAACAAAGCAAAACAAAACAAAACAAAACAAAACAAAACAAAACACAAAACAAAACATACTTGACAAAAGAAAATACTTAATAACTTTCTATTCTGAATTTATCAAGCATTGCATTTCAGAACATTGGTACGAACGTCTTAGAATTTATCTTGCAAAATGTCTTAACGTCTAAGAAGTTTGTACAAATATTCCTAAACGCAGTTCTTGAGAAATTCTTCAATTCTCAAATATTTTCTTGAGAACAATATTAATTTAATTAATTATTATATGTACTGTAAGCATGTACGTAAGATAAATTTAAGAAGTTCTTTCAAATGTTCCTAAATGCAATTCTTGAGAAATTCTTAAGTTCTCAAAGTTTATTTATATTGCACATTTCATAAACAATGTTAATTCAAAATGCTTTGCATGAAGAGGATTTAAAATAATCATACAATGATCACAACAGATGCATAAGAAATAAAAATAATAACATGCATAATAAATAAAAATAACAATAAAAATTGATTTAAAATGAAAAAAAAAGGTTTAAAAATGTATTAAATACCGCAATTGCAATGCATTAAATACTGCAACTTGTTTTGTTTAATTTATTAAAAAAATGTTAAGAGAGTGAATTGTGAATCAAGAATACACAGACGTTTCTGAAGTTATACTCTGAATTTCTAATGAAACCACTTGGTAACATGGATTATGAATTACATCAAACACAAATTCACAGGAATCAACATAAGTCAATAACACGAGGTAAAAGAGTACTTTTTTTCTTATCAGTCCCATCAGGATTTCATGGGACTTTTTTCCTGACTTTGCACCCCAAAATGACTGAATTTGCTTCTCCTTTTCTCAAAAATTGCGGTAGCATTTGCACACTGAAAAACAATTGGTGCAGGATTTAATTTGAGGCTATTTTCACTGTAGATTTCACAAATAATTGCAAAGAAGCTGCATGCCACGCGTTGAATTAAATGTGAAATTTTGAAGTTGAACGACTCCAATATAATGTACTCCAATAATGAAAATATTGTGAACATTTTTTACTGCATGCGGCAAAATTCTTGACTCGCATACAATGCCCAAAGAGCACGTTTGTTTTCAGAGGCCTGGATCCTGGAGAGAGAAGAGAGAGTGGCAGGATCTGTGATGGTAATCTAATGCAACTAGCTCACACAGATCTATCACTATTTTCTCCGGCGGTCCGCGGGGTAATTCTCTTGAGATCAGCGGCGCGCCCGCACGCTGAATTTGATGTCCTGTGAAATAAAGGCCAGCGATCTGACTACAGATCTGACTAAAATACTCTCCGGTGACCTTGGATGCCCTCGCCGTGTATTCTGGCCGTCTAATTGAGTGTTCACCCCGGTGAGCTTCATTTTCTGTGGAGTTATTGACGAGCGGCGTCTGTACTGTATGTAGTTATCTCAGCGCGGCTGATCCGGGCCCCATGAGAGCGCCGGCTCTTCCCAGGATCATGCTCTGCATTGCATCTGAACTGCATGAACTTCATCTGGAGCCTCTGACCCGAGCGGTACACTATCAAGGTCTTCATTATTCAGGAGGTCTTTTTCTGTTTCAGCAAAGACACAGAGTTTATCCATGTACGGTTCTGCCACCTTTAACCCATATGAAGTCTCTGTAGGGATGTTTTCTCCATATTTCCGTATTTTAAGCATGACCCACGTGAGAAAAAAAAATTGCTGCATTTTCGAATGCATTTATTTCTTGCATGCATAGCTTCTTCATATAAACTCCATCTTTTGCAAGTGTTGTTAGGGTTGCTTATAGCATGCCAACCATCTTCCCAAACTTGTAATCAGAATAATTTATAAATCTGTTGTGAGCAAAAGAGAAGGTCTAAAGTCTCGCCAAAATCAAAGCTCTAACATATGGTTTCTACGTTTGAAAGCAAAACTATTAAAACATTTGTAAACGTTAGTGTTGCAATTTTACTGTAGTTCTATAAAATTATTATTATTGAACATTTTTATTTTGATCATATAAATTATAATTAAACAAATAATAAATACATTACTATTGTACTGAAAAATAAACAAGTATTTAATATAATAATATATAAAGTACTATAATAATAATAATAATAATAATAATAATAAACGTTTAATAATAAAATGAGAAAAATAAATGCTTGTTTATTTTATGGTACAATAGTAAAGTATTTGATTTGTTTAATTAAAAATATTTTTTTCTGTTTCAGCAAAGACACAGAAGACACAGAGTTTATCCATGTACGGTTCTGCCACCTTTAACCCATATGAAGTCTCTGTAGGGATGCTTTCTCCATATTTCCGTATTTTAAGCATGACCCACGTGAGAAAAAAAATTGCTGCATTTTCGAATGCATTTATTTCTTGCATGCATAGCTTCTTCATATAAACTCCATCTTTGCAAGTGTTGTTAGGGTTGCTTATAGCATGCCAACCATCTTCCCAAACTTGTAATCAGAATAATTTATAAATCTGTTGTGAGCAAAAGAGAAGGTCTAAAGTCTCGCCAAAATCAAAGCTCTAACATATGGTTTCTACGTTTGAAAGCAAAACTATTAAAACATTTGTAAACGTTAGTGTTGCAATTTTACTGTAGTTCTATAAAATTATTATTATTGAACATTTTTATTTTGATCATATAAATTATAATTAAACAAATAATAAATACATTACTATTGTACTGAAAAATAAACAAGTATTTAATATAATAATATATAAAGTACTATAATAATAATAATAATAATAATAATAATAAACGTTTAATAATAAAATGAGAAAAATAAATGCTTGTTTATTTTATGGTACAATAGTAAAGTATTTGATTTGTTTAATTAAAAATATTTTTTCGTATTTTCATTTAAATTCTATAGATTTAACTTAATAAGTACATTACCATTGTACTGTAAAATAAAAGTGTTTTAATGATAATAACAATAACAGCAATAATAATTATTATTATTAATACTATAATAGTAATACTACTACTACTACTAATAATAATAATAATAATACAATATTTATAAAAGTTAAATTGCTATCATTATTGTTGTTGTTGTTGTTATTATTAATGTTATTTTATTATTCAGACATATTGAATGGACGGGGCAGGTTGTCTTTTTTTTGCTGCTTAGCTGATCACATGCCTGCTCTGTCGTTTTCTTTGAGCAGTTTCTGGACTGGTGATGATTCTCAAAGCGGGACGCTTGTAGTGATTAAAGTGGTCAGCTTGTGACTTCATTGTGAGGAATCTGGTAAAACCCACTTGCTGTATCTAAGCAGCTAAATAAACCAGCAGCAGAGAGTTTAACAATTACATCCTCTGCGGTGGGAAGAATGAATTTCACCCTCTGCACTGCCTTATTCGACACAGATGGGGGCATCTTCACGGGACGTGATTGCCGACAGCGTGGCTTCATCAAGGGTGTCTTCTTGCTCCAAACGCTTGAGTTCAGCTTTCTCCTTGTGAAGCGGAGAGAGGGGTACTTCATGTGCTGCATGCACGGCATAGAGCTCAGTCTCTCTTTTAAGATGATTTTCACTGGATCAGTTTTCAACTTTCCACCCTGCTGAGATGCATCTTTTGATTCATCTTTTTAACTTGACCCATCTCTATAGCTCACTCAGTAGGCTTCTTTAAGGCACATTGAAGTGTTGTAGTACTCGAGATTAGACTCTGTCTCAAGTCCTTCTCTAGTCCTAGTCCAAGACCATGAACAATAGAGCAGTTGGATACGACATTGATGCTCAGATACATTTCAGATGCATACTCTTAAAAATAAAGCTTCTTTATTGGCATGTGGTTCCATGAAGAGCTTTTAAAGCAATGATTGACCAAAAAAATATATTTAAATTTGCTCAGGCCATCCAAGACTAGGATGAGTTTGTTTCTTCATCAGATTTGGAGAAATGTAGCATTGCATCACTTGCTCAGCAATGGATGCTCTGCAGTGAATGGGTGCCGTCAGAATAAACCACAATAATCCACACCACTCCAGTCAATCAGTTAACATATTGAGAAGCCAAAAGGTGAGGGTTTGTAAACATCCATCAAGACATTTTTCTTTTCAAACCATTGCTTCTGGCTAAAATATGAGTCCTCTATAATAACGGTTCCTCTAGTGAAAATCTGGTCTGAATCAGGAGAGAAATCTGCACAGATCAAGCACCGTTTACAAGCCAAAACAGTCCAAAACAAATATGTGGGTAGATTTTGATGTCTGAGAAAAAAAAAATGTTCACTATAGGAAGCATTATTATGAACTATGGATTCATATTTTGGTCAGAATTAATGGCTTG